CCTCGTGTACATCGACGACTTGGTCTTGGCCACTGCTGACACTGCTGGACTCGCCCACGTGAAGTCCGAGTTGCAGAAGAGACACACGTGCACAGACCTGAGTGAGCTGCGCAGCTACCTTGGCTTGAAGATCACCCGGGACAGAGCACAGCGCACCATTACCTTTCTCAGTCACACATGGTGCAGCAGGTCCTTCAGCGCTTTGACTTCACGTACTCCTCGCCTCAGGCCACTCCTCTCTCTACTCGCCACTCGCTCTTTCCTCTGCCTCCGGATGAGTCCGTAGAGCCGAGTGGCCCGTACCGAGAGCTTGATGGCTGCCTCATGTACCTGATGATTTGCACACGACCTGACCTTGCATACCCTCTTAGCCTTCTTGCACGTTATGTTGCTCCTAGGAGACACCGACCAGAGCACATGGCTGCAGCGAAGAGGGTGTTGCGCTACTTGTGCAGTACGTCGGGCATGGGGCTAGTGCTTGGAGGGCGACGTCGAGTGGTCCTCACAGGTCACGCTGGCGCTTCTTGGGCTGACGACCAGGCTACGCAGCGGTCGTCACAGGGTTACACCTTCAGCCTTGGCTACGGCTCTGTTTCGTGGCGGTCTACCTGCTCGTCTTCTGTTCTCGGCTCCAGCTGTGAGGTTGAGATCTACGTGGGGGCCATGGCTATACAGAAGCTACGCTGGCTCACCTACCTGCTGAATAACCTAGGAGAGCCGCCTCGTTCTCCTCCAGTTCTATACGTAGACAACAAGGCCATGCTGGCCTTGTGTCGGGAGCACAGAGTGGAGCACAGAACGAAGCACATTGCTTTCGGCTACTTCCTTGCTCGTGAGCTGCAGCAGCGTGGTTAGCTGCGTCTTGCGTACGTGGCCTCTGAGGCCAACACTGCTGATATCTTTACCAAGGCACTTCCGCCTGGTGATCATCAGCGCTTCCGTACTATGCTAGGTCTTGTGCCTACTTGGCCTCACTTGCTCACTTCTTGACCTTGCTTGTACTGTGATCTTTCTATACTTGCACTTGCCTTTTTACCTTTATATATGATCTTGCATGTGAACTGGCCTTGTGGCCTTGCTCTTGTGCTTGGATTGTGTGGTGACGTTGTGATCCACCCTAAGCTTGCTTTGCTTTGCTTGACTCGTCTTGTGACCTCTTGTTCTCCCCCACTTTGCCTATGGGGGTGTGTCAAACTTATATCATATAGCTTGTGTAGGCTATAGTGGGGTAGACACTATGGGGTACAGTTTCCTAGGGTTTCCTACTTGTACCCAACCTTGTGCTAGTTCATTTATTCCTCTTTTCTTCACACGCCCCTGCAGCCCACGTAAGCCGCCCCTGCAGCCCGCGAGCCGCCCCTGCGGCCTCCTGCCCTTGTGCAACTGCGGGGTGGCGGGTATGGGGGTGGCGGGTGTGTGCGTCGCCACTAGCACCTCCTCCTCCTTCGTTTCCCACTGCTGCAGCTGCGGTTGAGGGGGGTGGATGTGTGGGAGTCGAGGGAGTGGTGCTAGGGGGGTGACATGGGAGTGGAGCTAGGGGTGCAGCAGGGGGTGTGTGAAAGGGGGTCTGCGATAGTGGGGGATAGTGTGCGGAGGTATCCGTTTTGTCGCCAGCAGCGTCAGTAGTCCGGAGGCTACAATCTCCGGTAGCCCAGTGACCAGTCACCCGTGGGTCCGTTGCTCCTGTCGCTCGTCTTAGCCGCAGAGCCAGTTACTCTTGTAGTCCGGAGGCTACAATTTCCAGTAGCCACCGTGTGCGCGCTCTTGTTGCCCGTGTGTCTGCGGCTTCACCCGTCGCCTCCAATCTCCTCTCCTCTCACAGTCCAACCTCCTCCTCCTCACTTGCCCTTTGTGAATGCCTCTAGCTGTACTTGTACTTGTGCTTGTTGTGCTGATTACACCCCACTTTGGCTAGGGGGGTGTGTCAAAATGTTATATTTGTCTAGCCTGCAGTGGGGTACTCTATTGCGAATATAGCCCAGATTAGGGTTTCCGATATGTACTAAAGTGCCTGCTAGTGCAAACCTATTTTTCCTGTTCTAGCTTTATGCCTAGCATTTCTTACAGCCGCTGCACGTTGATTGATGCGTTTAGGGTTGAGCACCCCTACACCAACTAGTCTTCATGCAATTAAGGGGGGATGTTAGAATATATACCGTCGTCGCCCAAATATAAGACATATATGTCTGATCTCGTACACGGGCAAAAATGCTTGGGTTATCTTGTATTCGGGACTATTTAGGGTGTCTTATAATTCTTAGAAACGGACAAAGAACTATTTAGAAGATACCCTATCGCTATTCGATTACCCCTTACCCCTACACTAGCTTAACTCGTACACACAAATAGGTGTCTTCTAATGAGGCTACCCCGTTTATACGAGACACCTGGGTAATAGACAACCCCTGTCTTCTATTCAACACTGTCTTATATCCGAGCGCATATGGTATTATTCTTATACAATTGCATATATAGCTAGTAGTGTAGGGCCTTGGTGGTATACTCCCCTTGGTGGTATATCTTGTACCTCTCATATTGCAAACCCTCTTCTTTGGCCAAACCTCTCTTTAATCCTAGCCACTATGATTCCTAAGCTATAACACCTATCTTGAGAGCTTTAATGATCATATTAAGACGAGAAATTTTTCTTAGAGTTGTTATTTAACCCTTTAAGAAACAATACTGGTGACTCGCGGAATGTAGGTTAAGACGTGGTGCAGATTGTGACGATTTGAGGTAATCATTGTCAATAAGAAGCAACCCACAAATTCCCTGAAGCACCAAGGGCTTTCCATGCTGATCAAGGGCAATATTTGATCGAGCTTCCTGACGACAGACGTAATTAGTAACTAACCCTACCGAAGTTCTCTTCTGCTCGTTGCAACAGTTTATATTGTGAAGAAATGAGGAAAATGAAGAAGGGAGGGGTTGCACTAGCAGCAGTTGGCATACATATAGGAAACCCTAATTGGGTTGTACTCGCTATAGAGTACCCGACTGCAAGCTAGACAATTATAACATTCTGACACACCCCCATAGCCAAAGTGGGGTGTAATCAACACAATGAGCAAGCATGCATAGAGCAAGAGCTCACAATAGGGAGCAAAGCTAGAGTTAATCACAACGAGCAAGTGAGGAGGAGGAGGAACTGTGGAGGGAGAGAAGATGGGAGGCAGCGACTGAAGCTGCAGAGGCACGGGCACAGGAGCGGCTGACTAAGTGGCTACCGAAGCAAGGGCGACGGACTGCTGGAGTAACTGGCTACGCGGCTATAGACGAGCGGCAGGAGCAACGGACCCACTGGTGACTGGTGCAACAGGCTCACTGGCTACCGAAGCAAGGGCGACGGACTACAGGCGCTGCAGGCGACACGACAGCTACCTTCACACAACCTCCTCCAGCTGCCCCACACCTCTCGACACACACCCCCTGCTTAAACCCTAGTTCTACTCCCACAGCACCCCCCTGTCACTCACCCCCTGCTGCACCCTAGGTTCACTCACACCCCACCCCCTAGCACCACTCCGTCGACTCCCACACACCCACCCCCCTCAGCGGCAGCTGCAGCAGTGGGAGACAGAGGAGGAGGAGTAGGGGAGACCACACACCCGCCACCCCCTACTCGCCACCCCCAAACCCTAACAGAGGGCAGGGCGGGATGGCGGGTAGGGAGGTTACGGGGGGGGGGGGGGAAGGGGGGGGGGGGGGGGGGAGGGGGCGGGGGGGGGGGCGACGCGCGGTTTCTCAGGGCGCCAAAACAGGCGGCAGAAGGGGCAACGCTCGCGGCCCCCTCAGGTCGCCTTGACAGGCGACGGGAAAAGGGGGGGGGGGGGGGGGGGCGGTGCACGTGCCCTCGGTGCGCCGCGGCTAGCGACCGAGCATGGCCGGGGCGGGGCTGGGGCCGCAAGTGGCGGCGACGGGGCCGCTGTAGGCGGCGACAGGGCCGATAGGGGCGGCGAATGGGCCGCAAGTGGCGGCGACGGGGCCGATAGGGGCGGCGACGGGGCCGCTAGGGTCGGCGACGGGGCCGCTAGGGTCGGCGACGGGGCTGCTAGGGTCGGCGACGGGGCCGCTGGCGGCGACGACGGGGCCGCTGGCTGCGGCAACGGGGCCGATAGGAGCGGCGACGGGGCCGCTAGGGTCGGCGACGGGGCTGCTGGCGGCGGCGACGGGGCTGCTGGCGGCGGCGATGGGGCCGATAGGGGCGGCGACGGGGCCGCGAAGGGGCCGCGAGGGGCCTGGAAGGGCGGCGACGGGCCGCGAAAGGGGCGGCGACGGGGCCGCGAAGGGGCTGCGAGGGGCCTGGAAGGGCGGCAACGGGGCCGCTAAGAGTAGCGCGAGGAGCACGCCACGGGGCGTGCCGAACACAGAGTAGCAGCGGAAGCAGTTAGGTGGGCCAACAGGCCAGGAGCGTGGATGCTCTGATACCATGTGAAGAAATGAGGAAAATGAAGATGGGAGGGGTTGCACTAGCAGCAGTTGGCATACATATAGGAAACCCTAATTGGGTTGTACTCGCTACAGAGTACCCCACTGCAGGCTAGCAAATTATAACATTCTGACATATATCGCCAAATCAGTCGAAACAACTTGGGCAACGGGAAGAATAAAATGTGGTCACAGACGGAGGCTACGGCGTAATCGCACGGTACTGAATTTCGCTTGGTCTCGCTATACTTTGTTACGGAAATGACGTGTGACTAGCATGAAAAGACCGATTGTGATTTCGACGAATTCTCCTCCCATATCACGTGACGCCGTACGAATCGCAGATCGCACCAAGTCGAGGCAATACGATCTGATCAAAAGCTGATTGACTAAGATCGCCCCGATCTGCACTACGTCCTTAGTTTTCTTGGAGTTGTTGACGAAGCTTGCTACTGTTAAGACTTGAAGAACTTTCATGCAAGTCAATTGTTGTTAAGTCAGATAGAAATGTAAAACAGGACTCAACGTTAACGTTGGAAGGGTTGCATAGTCAGTTACATTTAGTTTTATTTATGCTAATGATGAAAAGTATGTTGTAATTATTTCAGGACATATGTCCAATATGTTTCATCTAGTGATTTTTTTCATTAGTATCATGGAATCAATTTTTGCTGGTGCGTTTTGAAGTTAGATATCATGTAGCATTCTAGAAACGTTTTTTTTTCTAGTGTTTTTGCAGTAATGACGTAGCATAAAGCTTCTGCTCAAATGGGGAATCTTACTCAGATGACTAGATTTGTGACGTCATTATACGTCTGTTTCACGTGACACTAGCTTCCAAGCCTAGAAGGTGTGTGTGTACGGATGTTTGTTTTAAATCCTAGTGCCCAAATTTTGTCAGGTGAACAATTTTCCCCTAGGTGTTTGTGTTCGATTCGATATCTACAGCGTTTCTACCTCAATTTCCGAGGCTTGTTTCTTTTTAGCAGTTGCACAACAACCCTAACGACCAACCCAACTTCCAGAACCAGCGTCTCTTATTGGAGAACTACCGTACCACGCCCTTGTTTGCCCCAAACCCCAACAATCACATCTCCCTCCCACCGACCCGACCTCTCCTCCCAACCTGATTCTTGCTGTCGCAACTACCACCCATCTGCCCATCGCCCCTCCCATCCACCTCGACATAGCCGCTCTCTCTTTATGGGCGCGTGTGATCTATTTTCAAGTTCGGAAAAAATGTCGAAATTTTTATGGTTACCAGCTTCGCTAATCTCGTCAGGAAGCTTTGGCGAAGGCATGAGAATTTTGGGGCACATAAGTTCGAATGTCAAATGTGAACTCAACTCGAATCACACGAGTAAACGTGCGGGTGCACGTGAGGCGAGTGTGTGTTGTTTTCAGCACGTACGAAGGCTATCTGAAACTCGCGACCGCTTTGCGAAGGTCGTTGAGCTTCGTTGCGCATTACGTTAACGTGTCGCGCTGTACCAGGTAACCTACTCCCCTACGGGCGGCTCGCCGCCATCCCTAAAAGGTCGAATCTCTGTGTTCGACCTTGGGTGTGTGATTGTGACTCGTCTGTATTGGAGACCCAAGATTCGAACTTCGCTGGAAAGAAAGTCGAGTTTTGTTCAAAAAAAATTATTCGACCTAAAAACATAAACTTCCACAAATTTGTAAGACCACACGCGCCCTAACCCCACGCTCTTTCTCCTACCCCGCGTCGCCTCACTCTTAGCCTGCCGTCGCCTCCCTCTTAGCCTGCAGTCGCCTTCGCCCTCCCATCCCGTCATCGCAGCCTCCTCTCGTCCCGCCGTCGCCTCCCCTTCTCATTCCGTCGTCGCCTCCCCTTCCCGTCCCCCCATCGCCTCCCCTTCTCATTCCGCCGTCGTCTCTCCCTCTCACTCCACCGTCGCCTCCCCCTCTCATTCCGCAGTCGCCTCCCCCTCTCGTCCCGCAGTCGCCTCCCCCTCTCGTCCCGCAGTCGCCTCCCCCTCTCATTACGCCGTCGCCTCCTCCTCTCATTCCGCCGTCGCCTCCCCCTCTCGTCCCGCCGTCGCCCCTCCCTCTCGTCCCGCCGTCGCCCCCCCCCCCTCTCATTCCGCCGTCGCCTGCCCCTCTCATTCCGCCGTCGCCTCCCCTTCTCGTCCCGCCGTCGCTTCTCCATCACATCCCGTCGTCGTTGCTGAAGACAGCTGCACGAGTGCGAACTGGTGGGCGAGCGCGGGTTGATCCCTGAGGCACCGTGATTCTCAGGTGCATCTACCTCTCTAGGTCCTTTTCTCCTCCCTTCCCCTCCCCCTCTGAAATTCTCTAACTTTCTAACATTTTTTGTAGGGTTCTGTGTCGATTTTGGTATCCCTTGCGTTGCATTTGAAGGGGGGAAGAGAGGGATTGTGCACGTGAGTGAGCACGCAAGAGATCGCGCGTGAGAGAGCGAAGGAAGAGCTGGAGGGAGCGAGGGAGGGAGAGGCGGGGGAGAGAGCACCTTCCGCGCCGTACGCACTTGCGTCATTGGCGCGGGCGCCATGGGCGTCTGCGCCTAAGCCGCTTGCGCTTAGGGCGCTGGCATTGTGGGTGCTTGTGCTTAGGGCGCGAGTGTGTGTATGGTTGCAATGAGTGTGAGAGTGAGAATGTGCGAGAGGGTGAGTGCGGGTGTGAATCTTGATGTGAGTGCGGGTGTAAATCTTGATGCGAGTGCGGGTGTGAATCTTGATGCGATGCGGGTCTGAGTCTTGGTGCAAGTGCGGGTGTGAGTGCGAGGCCGGGTGCGAGGGTGAATGAAAGAGCAAGTGCGAGCATGAGTATGAGTGAGTGCAAGCGTGAGTGTGAGGGCGAATCTGAGGGTGAATGCGAGCGTGAGTATGTGTGTGAGTGCGAGGTTGAGTGCGGGTGCTGGTGTGAGTGCGTTCGAGTGTGCGTGGTAGATTGAGTGCGAGGATGAGTGCAGGTGTTTGTGTGTGTGTTTGTCCGAAGGTGATTGCAAGGGTTTGTGCGTCTTTCTGTGAGTGTGTCTAAGAACGGTTCAAAGCATTCAAGTGTTCGTGAGTGACTGCGAGCATGAGCAAGTGTAAGAGGGTGATTGCGGGTTCGATTCTTGGTGGTGCAAGAGCGGGCGCGGTGCGAGATTGAGTGCGCGCATGAGCTTGAGGGTGTGTGAGAGGGTGCGTGCAAGTGTATATTCAAGGGTCAATCCGAGAGCAAGTGCGAGCGAGAGTGCAAGAGTGATTGCAAGGGTGAGCGTGAGAGCAATACAATTGTGAGTGTGAGGGTGAATGCGAGTGTGAGTGCGAGTGTATGTGCAATGTTGAATGTGAGGGTGATTGAGATGGCTAGTTCAAGGGTAATTGCGGGTGTGAGTATGTGTGTGTGTGTGTGTGTGTGTGAGAGAGAGAGAGAGAGTGCGAGGTTGAGTGCAAGGGTGTGTGTGTGTGTGAGAGAGAGAGAGAGTGCGAGGGTGAGTGCAAGGGTGCGGAATGAGTGCAGTGATGGGTGCGAGTGGTGAGCACAAGTATGACTGCAAGCGTTAGTGCGAAAGTGAGTGTGAGAATTGCAAGGGTGAGTGTGAGGGTGATTGCGAGGGTAAGTGTGAGGTTGCGTGCAAGGGTGCGCGAGATTCTGTGTGCGTGTGCATGTGTGGTTTTCTGTGTAGGTGTCAGTGTGAGCGCGAGCATGAGTGCAAGGGTTAGGCTAGGGTTTGAGTGCGTGTTTCTGTGAGTGTTAATAAAAGCTGAGAGCGATTGTGTGTGCGTGATTGGATGGGAAAGTGAGTGCGAGAGTGAGTGCGAGCATGAGTGTAAGGGAGAATGTGAGGGTGAATACAAGACCGGCTACTGGGTACTGCATGCATTCTAGTGTGGATGTGTGACCCCACAATCTCTAATATCAAGTCACCTTTATGTTGCTCATGCAAGTTGTACTATCTGCTTTGTTATTGTTTGTGCAGGGAGTGTCAATTGCATTTGCTGTTTTTTTCTTTCTTGTGCAGGGAGTGTCAAGCTAGTGATAATTTATACGTGGCTGACCTTCATTAGTTATGCTTGCAGGTTAATTAGCTGTATGTTTCTGCGTTTGTGTGTATGTGTGTGCGTATGTGTGTGAACATGTGTGTTTGTGCACGGTACGTGTATGTAGTGTTAGTTGTGTCCGTTTTGAGGTGAGGTGAGGTGCTAAGTGCCTCGTGTATGCAACTGGGGTTGTGATCGTTGGTGGGGCAGCTTTGCTTGCCTCTTCCTTACCAGATCAATCTCAGTTGCATTAGCGATTGTCAGATTTATATGACATAGTTGCTGTAGGCTATAGTGGGGTAGCACATATGGGGTACAGGGTTTCTAGTGTTGTATTTGTACCCAATCTTTCCTTAGTCAATTCATTCCTGTTTTCCTTGCTTCACATGGTATAGAGCGGGTCCTGCCTTAGGACCGTATTTTTTAGGGCCCACCGAAGCGCGCCCCGAGGCGCGCCTTTTTTTTAGCGACCCCTCGGGTCGCCTTTTCCCTCGCGGCCCCGCTGTCCCTCAGACGCGGCCCCGCCACCTTTCCTGATCGCGGCCCCGCCGCCTGCTTGACGCGGCCCCGCCGCCTCCCCTGACGCGGCCCCGCCGCCTCCCCTGACGCGGCCCCGCCGCCTCCCCTGACGCGGCCCCGCCGCCTCCCCTGACGCGGCCCCGCCTCTACTGCCGCAGCCCCGCCGCCGCCTCTGACGGCCCCGCCGCTGCACCCTACGGCCCGCCGCCTCTGACGGCCCCGCCGCTGCACCCTACGGCCCGCCGCTGCTCCTGCCGACCCGCCGCCTCACCTGACGGCCCCGCCGCTGCTCCTGCCGGCCCGCCGCTGCTCCTGCCGGCCCGCCGCTGCACCTGCCGGCCCGCCGCTGCACCCAGCGGCCCGCCGCTTCACCTGACGGCCCCGCCGCTCCACCTGCCGGCCCGCCGCTGCACTCTACGGCCCGCCGCTGCACCCTACGGCCCGCCGCCTGCACCTGCCGGCCCGCCGCTGCACCTGCCGGCCCGCCGCTGCACCTGCCGGCCCGCCACTGCACCGGTCGACCCGCCGCTGCACCTGACGGCCCCGCCCCTGCATCTCCCGGCCGGGCCGCCCCAGCAGCCGAACCGCCCGGGAGCCGAGCCGCCCAACGCCGAGCCACCCGGGACCCGAGCCGCCCTGCCGCCGAGCCGCCCGGGAGCCGAGCCGCCCTGCACCCGAGCCGCCCAGCCGCCGAGCCGTCCGGGAGCCGAGCCGCCCTGCGCCCCAGCCGCCCAGCCACCGAGCCGCCCGGGAGCCGAGCCGCTGTGCACCCGAGCCGCCCGGTCGCTGAGCCGCCTTTCTGCAGAGCTGCACGACCTGCCCTGCCTGGTGAGCACAGTCCCATTGACACTGCGAGCTCTTTCCCTACTGCTTGCACTGCGTCGCTGTCGTCGCCATGGCTACCCCTAGTGTCCTAGCTTTCGACGCTGAGGGTCGCGCCATTGATTTTGAGGTCTGGTTAGACGACCTGCAGCTGTTCTTACAGTGCGACAGGGCTGACGACCTTTCTCTCTTTGACCTCACCTCTGGCGCCTCTCCTGCTCCTGCTGCTGATGCTGATCCCACTGTCCGCTCTAAGTGGGCCACCCGCGATGCTGCTGCACGTCTTGCTGTGCGTCGCCACCTCCCTACCTCTGAGCGTGCGCACTTTAGTCAGTACAAGAGTGCTCAGACCTTGTACGACGCTGTAGTTGCGCGCTACTCCTCCCCTGCCACTGCTGCACTGAGCCGTCTCATGCTTCCCTACCTCTTTCCTGACCTCTCTGCCTTTCCCACTGTCGCTGACCTCATTACGCACCTCCGCACTAGTGACACTCGCTACCGCGCCGCCCTTCCTGCTGAGTTCTGCGCTAAGAACCCCCCCCCCATGTACATCGCTCTCTACTACGTAGTCGCGCGCCTCCCTGACTCCCTTCGCGTCGTCAGGGACCACTTTCTCGCAGTCTGTCCCACCACCCTCACCGTCGACCTCCTCGAGAAGGCCCTCCTCGCAGCGGAGAAGAGCATAGTCGCTGTAGGTGCTTCTCGTGGTGACCCTCGCACCCCCATCTTTGAGGGGTGCTCTCCTTCCCCCTTGCTGCCCTCTGTTGCCTCTGCTACTTCTGCCGACCTGCTTGGTCTCGAGTCGGTCGGCGCGGCGTCTGCCCCTAGTGGGAGACGTCGCTCCAGCAAAGGCAAGGGGGGCAAGGGCGCGGGTGGAGCTGGAGGGGGCGGTGGCGGTGGCGGCGGTGGCGGCGGAGGGAGTGGGGGTGGCGGCGGGACTAGTGGCGGGGGTGGTGGTGGCAGCAGCGGCGGAGACGGTGGTGGTGGTGCCAGCGGTGGTGGTGGAGGCAGCGGCGGAGGTGGAGGCGGCGGAGGTGGAGGCGGTGGAGGCGGCAGCGGAGGCGGCGGTGGTGGTGGAGGAGGTGGAGCTGGTCGAGGTGGTACCCAGCAGCGTAGCGGCGGTGGTGGTGGCCAGCGCTCGCAGCGGCAGCAGCAGCAGCGCTCGCGGGACATCCCTCCGCCTCAGCAGCTTCGTGAGTGGTACGCTGGGCGTCAGAGGGGTGGGGGTACTGGTCCCTGCACCTACGTTCTTCGTTCCGGCGACCGCGCGGGTGAGCAGTGTGGGGGTGCCCACGCCACCCAGCGCTGCTTTGGCCGCCTGACGGACGCTTGGCGTCAGCAGTTCCCTGGGGCTAGTGAGATCCCTCGCTGGGATGAGCTTCTCAGGGCTGGTGTAGCGATCTTTGATCTTGATTTTGATGCTATCCTTGCTGCTATGTATGTTGTGGATTATAGTGAGGAGAATGAGGGTTACCGTTGTTTCCAGCCCGACCCGGGCATTGGTACTGCTGCGCTAGGTACTTGTGAGGCTGCTGCTCTCGGTGCCAGTGCGTCTGTGCTCTCAGGTACTGGTGAGACTGCGCTCTCAGGTACTGCGTCGTCCTCATCCTCCCTCACTTTCACACTTGACTCTGGAGCTTCTCGCTCCTTCTTTCGAGACCGCACTACCCTTACGCCGCTCGGCCGGCCGGTTGCGGTCTCCCTTGCTGACCCCTCTGGGGGTCCTGTCCTGTCTCACTTCTCCACTGTCCTCCCGTGTCCGGCTGCCCCTTCGGGCACCCTGTCGGGTCTGTACCTTCCCTCGTTCTCTACGAACTTGGTGAGTGGAGCGGACCTGCAGGATGTGGGGGTTCACCAGTTCACTCCTGCGAGTCAGCGGGTGAC